ACATTCTATTTTCAATAAGACAACCGATGACACAGTAATTTAGACGACTATAACATCCCTTTATAAGAGGGAACCACAACTTGCGATTTCACGAACACAGAACCCATGATTCCGCGCATAATGACTTTAGTGAAGGGAGAATAGAGACTTCAGGGAGGCTACATAATGACTTTAGTGAAGGGAAAAGAGATTGAAGAAGGGAGAAGGGAATAGTATGCAGACATATGTGACAATTTCGTACGCCTTCCGTCTTGGTATAAAAAGAAGACAAAACCAATGGTAGTAAAAATAAGTTTACTAGCATGGCTTTAGAGAAGAGAGAATAGAGAAATTGAAGAAGGGCGAAGGGAGCAGTGCGCAAACAGGCCTTGCAATTTTGTGCGCCTTCTGTCTTGGTAAAAGAAGACAAAATCGATGGCAATAAAAGTAATTTTACTACCATGGCTTTATAGAAGGGAGAAGAGAGAGATTGAACAATGGAGAAGGGAATAGTGCAGGGACAAGTGTCACGATTTCACACACCTTCCATCTTGGTATAAGAATAAGACAAAACCGATGGCAGAAAAAGTAATTTACTACCATGGCTTTAGAGAAGGGAAAAGAGAGAGATTGATGAATGGAGCATAGTGCGGGGACAGGTTTGCGATTTTGTGTGCCTTCCGTCTTGGTATAAGAAGAAGACAAAATCGATGCAGTAAAAGTAATTTTACTACCTTGGCTTTAGAGAAGGGACAAGGGAATAGTGCGGGGACAAGTGTCGTGCTTTCGCATGCCTTTCGTCTTGGTATAAGAAGACAAAACCGATGGCAGTAAAAGTAAATTTACTACCATGGCTTTAGAGAAGGGAGAAGAAAGAGGTTGAATAAGGGAGCATAGTGCGGGGACAAGTGTTGCGATTTTGTACGCTTTTTGTCATGGTATAAGAAGAAGAGTAAACCGATGGTGTAGGGAAGGTGTGGTTAGGCTATGTGAGAGTGGTCTCCTTGAAGGACAAAGGAAGATCGGAAATAGGGTATCAATCAAAAGGTTAGGGCAAGGGGGAGTGACAAGACAGCTGGCTAGAATGAGTAGGGAATCCAATGATTAAGTGAATCAATGGACGAATGCCTCCCCTCGTTATGAGGAGGGTTCTCATTTATAAGGAGGGATCCCGAGGTCTCGAAAGGAAGGAATCAAAAGTGCTCGATTCTTATTAGGAAAGGGAATATTAGACTCGTTGCTGGTCATTAAGGTGCACTACTAAGGTTTCACCACGTGGCTTATGAGATCTCTTAAGGGCTGACTTTCCTTTCACCCGAAGATTCTCACAATCCACACGTACTACTTCCTTTCGCATCCTATTTAACCGACGTGGCGCCAGTGACATCATCAAATGGTGGGCGCGTGTCCCTTTACTCGCCTATATGATGCCTTATCATGCGCATAACTTAAAATTGCACGTGGGATCGATATTCAACTCCAGTTCATGGTGACTTGCAGTTTTGTGATGGTCTTAGGTTCATCATAGGACCGCACGCCTCTGAGGTTCATCGCAAAGACGCGCGCATCTAAGGTTCATTACAGAACCACACTCATATAAAATTCATCGTAAGTTTACATTAATTAAAATTTGTTTTCGGTTCGTGTCGAGTACAAGTTCATCGCGAACGTGTGATGAATCGTGTGTTTGTCGCAGGCATCCAATGAGTTATAAGCTCTTCGTAGGCGACCGATGAGCGGATACTATGTAGCTATAAATGGTATAAAAATTAATTTTACTACCAAGGATTTAGAAAAAGGAGAAGAGAGAAGAGAGATTAGAGAAGGGAGCACAGTGTGGGGATAGGTGTCGCGATTTTGCGTGCCTTCTGTCTTGGTATAAGAAGACAAAATCGATGGCAATAAAAGTAATTTTACTACCAGGGCTTCAGAAGTGAGCAAGGAACAATGTGGGGCCAGGTGTCGCGACTGCCCACCTATCCGGTTCCACTATAAGTAGAAGATGACATACATTGTAATTTACACCTCCTTCAACACCAAATACCCAACCAAATTATTGTGCGATTCTGAATATCAAACGGTTATCCTTCCACATGTCACATTTTCCCTTCTCCCTTTTTGCTTTAAGAATGTATAAGATGTGTCAATGAACAGATCTAGAGGCTAAAAGAGTATAATAAAATGAAACAAATGAGAAAAAAAAAAGAGTTAATGAGGTGGGAAATGAGGAATTCAACTAAGTTAAAGAACTGATCTTTCCCTTTCATTGTGAGTTCAATACCGTGAAAACCAACTTTTTCATCATTGAAAAAAGCATGCTTTTTTCATCCTTCAAAACCTCAAGAGCATATGACTCTTCACGGTTTCCACCTCTCTCTTTCTCTCTCTCCCACGGATTGAATCCCCTCCATCTTTACCCATAATAGAGAAGCTCGGAATTGCAAAATAAACCTCCATATACTCCCTCACCCTCGACGAGTTCTAGCACACATTGTGTGAGAATGGGAAGAAACAAAAGAAGATTTCGGTGTTGCTTCCATTAATAACATTTGAAGGCGGTTGATTCTATCAAATCCCTCGTATACAATCCTTCTGTGAGGAATAAAAGAAGACTTTGGCATTGCTTCCATCAATAACATCTAACGGTGGTTTTTTCCATCAAATCTCTCGTATACAGCCCTTCTGTCAAAAATAGAAGAAAACTTTGGCATCTGTAAAGGCAACATTGAGAAAGGTAAAAAGACCCCCCTTGTATTTTTGTTCTATTGCTGATTTATTTTACTTTGGAACTCGATGAGATTGATGATAGCTGTAGGCTTGGTCAATTGATGATGCCAACTAATATTCTATCACTTGCAACGACGACACCGCATATGGATACTCCAACCACCAGAGCACCAGAAATTGCATGAAGGTAGTGTCTCAACGTACTAAACATTCCCACAAAATGGTCCTGCAGAACCATCAAATTATACGACAAACTATAACTATAAAAGGATATTTTATGAATTTTTAAAAATATATGAGTCACGTGATGTCACATGTGAATGGAATGTGACGAAAAGTTAACGGCAAGGGAAATTTTAGACAATTGTCAGAAAACTTAAGATACTTTTAAGACAATATGAAAATAGTAAATAATGATTTAGTCAATTCCCTAAACCATAGGGTACTTTAAGAAATTTTCCCTTAATATTTTAATTATTTAAACCTCTACTTTAGCTTGACAAACTTCTGCCTCCACTTAATGACCTATGCAAATACCTCCCCTAATCCAAAAAATAATTAATTTAAGTTACTAATAAATTAATTTTAATGTATCCCATACATTTTAGTCAAATGAGATCTTAAATTACTTAGCCCTTGTTTGAGAACACTTATAAGAAATACTTATTTTAACAAGTACTTCTTTTAAGAGTTGGGACCATACGTTAAGTGGTTTTGTGTGTTTGGTAAAAAAATGGGGAAGAAGTATTTTTTTAAAAAAGTGACTTCAAGTTGGCTTTTTTTTAGCCAACTACTAGGTAGTGGCACCAACGCAAAGTACATGAGCTGAGTCAACCCGTTCCTTCTCCTCCTAGCCCTAGATGCCAGTTAAATTTTCAAGCAAATGCAATCACACAAAGCCAAGCACACAGGAGGTGGGAGAGAGCATTACCTGATGAGAATGTGGCCTAAAAACGAGCTATAACAGAGGAAGCTACAGTCTACTAGGATCTCAGACTTCTAGCAGCTAACAACCGGAACATGGGAGATTTTCCACTATTGAAAATGATCTCCGATGCCGTGAGCAGAAAATTTAGATGGGCTCGAGATGTTCAACACATATGAGTCAGAGATTGTGATGAGTCGTGGTGGAGGATTGAACTGATTTCCACCTTCCGTGCACGGAGACGCGGTGAAGACTTCTTCAAATGGTTCGAGAGAGTTTGTAGAAACAAGGAAAGCTTTGGTCGATGCTACAAAATTTCACTTAGATTTTCCAATTAAGGGAGAAGAAACTTTCTATATTCTATTGAAAAAAAAAAACCTAAGCAAAGGATCCTTCAGTGGAAGAGGATTTTCTTTTCATTTTCCTTTTGCTTGGTAAGGGATTTATGTGGTGATAGTCATGCCATATCTGGTGCGCGATCGTCTATTCATTGGCAACATCAATGACGCTACCGAAATTTTGTAAAATGGGAGCACTGAAATTACACACATTCTATTGCTCCTCAACTCGACATCCATCTCATTCTTTACAGAATGGTTTTGGTTTCTCAACTCGAAAGGTGAAGAAGATGAATTGTGTCTTTTGATTATTATTATTATTATTGTTATTATTATTATTATTATTATTATTATTATTAATTGGGTCAACATGGCGATTCACGTGTGGGTCCATGTGGACTCTCAGTTAAAATGTATAATATAACATGTGAAAAGCATTGTATATATGTATGAGTAAAGTGAGGGCTAAAATTGTCATTTGTGTCAATATAAGTAATTATGGGAAAAATAACTTAGCAAACATCCCCACCCCAATAAATGCTTAAAAACATAATAAGTGATTTAGAAGGTGGGCTACCAAACAGCCTTAAGTGATTGTTAAAATAAGTACTTTTATGATACGAATACTTCTTTTAAAAGACACTTAATCACTTAATCATCAAACAGGGCCTTAAACTTCCCCATCTCTCCTATAATTTGACATCTACAATCCCCCTCATATTTGTATTTGTAGTACAAATTTTTAAATGTGCTTATTAATTATTAAAATCAATAAATACAAAATTTAAAATAATTGAAACTTTTAAATCATGAAATTTCTTCAATTTCAATTTTTATTCAGCAAGTCCATACATTTACACGCATGAATCACGTAGTGAATAATGACCAAAGATCAAAATTTTGATAAGATACACCCGACGTATCATACCATATTACCATATCTTTTGAATTACGGGATCCTTTTTTTTTTAATAAATAAATATAAATATATATAATTATATAAAAATTAATTTTTAGAATGCAAGGTTTTTAGTATCGATACTTTGAAGGTTGGGAGTCACGTTCCCTCCGATACTAGATTTGGCTGATGATCAAATACTGTCAGCCACGTAGAAGTCTTTTGCTTCTTTAGATCAAATACTGCAAGAAATATTTCTCCCGAGTTCACAAAAGAATGTAAAAGAACAAGTTTGCAAAGAACAAGCACAAAAATAGCGTCTGTAAATCACTTGTTCGCCCGGTGTTTGGTTAGTTCGCTCCCTTTCTTTGCTTCCGAGTTCCGGCTATTACAACATCGTACGAGGAATTCATAAAGATACGTGACTGGGGTCTCTCTATGAAGATTGTTCGTAAAGATCTCGTTCCCGATGGACCGGGCAGCGTCAAGGTAGGACACTGGAAACACAGACCAGTATCCTCGATTATTTTCCTCCACTCTTTGAATTTAATTTATATTCTAATTGCCGGCAGATGATTCCGGAGGAGTCGGATGATCTTTGGCTTGCTTATAATCTGGTAGCTGAGGGCGACAGCGTATTCGCCGTTACTGTCAGGTACCCGTATATCCTCTCGTTCAACTCTTTATGTGTTTCTGAACTTTGTTTTGCTTAGTAGACGCAACCCAGAATTTTATATTTTGTTAATTTTAATAGATTGCTTCTGGTGGCTCTTTAATTATCGTAAGAGATGGGAAATACGTATTACTGAAGATTAGAGTAGAAACTTAATTAAACATATATAAAATTTTTAGAGGAACTAGATGCCCTTAGGGTTTTCATTCATGAAAAATCATGCATAGAGTAGAGTAGAACAACGTCTTAACATGAAGGAAGAAGTAGAAAGGTATAGTTATGAATAAGCCATAGAATGAATGGCCAAATTCTTGTCAACCTTATATGAGGATCTGAATCATCCATTGTTTCTTCAATCATCTATGTTGGTATGTACTTGCAGACTAATTGTACATTCAGACCTGTAACACAACACTGTATCTTATTGGTTGTTTAGCTATTCACTAAAATTGAAATAAAATCCCAATGGTTGTGTTTAGAATGGCATAATGGGCATTCATAATTTATTTCTTTTCTTCTTTTTCCTTTTAATCATTTATTTTGTTGCAGGAAAGTGGTGAGGCAAATGGCTTCTGGTGGAAGAGATGCAGAGCGTGTTAAGCTGAAGTTGGAAATTAAAGTTGAGGTAAAACAGGATAGGAACCTAATGTCAAGCATTGCAACCTAGTAATTGATAGAATAACAATATGACATCATTTAGGGAGGTGTAGCTTTTGTAAATGCTGATATGTCCCAGCCATTATTTATTTCTTTTTTATTTTTGGAAAAGAAAAGGTAATTCTATTAGAGATAATAAACTGGTAGAACGGATAGGTTCAATCAACTGAACCCAACCCCAACAAAGCCCWCTTCAAATCAGTTACACCACAAATTTACAGATTGCAAACATTCGAAGATCGGCTTTTGAGCAGGTTCCCTTGTAGCTGTAGCCCAGGAACTCAAAAGTTTACAGATTTTGTTAGCTCAGCAATCTGGTGATACTTGGAAAATCCTCTTGTTCCTCTAAGTCTAAGCTTTCCATACCACAACTGCAAGAATTTGACTCCATAAATACTTTCCATTTTTGTTTAACTCCAGGCGGCACCAGCTAGCAAGAAGCTCCCTTGAGTTCCTGGGAGACACCTAGGCCAGGTTTGCAGCTCTTAGGAAGTGCAATCAGATCTCAAAATCCACAGGGCAATGGATAAATAGATGGTCTCAGCTATCATTTATAGAGTTGCTTCCATCCTTTGTGGCTTTATTTCCTTTAGAATTCTTGGTTTAGATTAAACTAAATCACTATAAAATGGGTTACAAGGTTTATCTGGCCGTTTTTTGCCCATAATATTTGCAATTTAGAATGGCGACTGTCAGTAATCTGCGAATGAAGGTTCTATAATCCCAAAATGTGATTTGTTTGTTTTAATATGCTTTTCATTTCCCTTATGTCCTTTTGTGTAATTTCTACCTAGGCTGTAGAGTACGACAAGGAAGGGTCTGTCCTACGTATACGTGGCAAGAATATCCTCGAGAATGAACATGTGAAGGTAAGTCCAGCTCCAAAATAAACTTTGGTTCTTATGAAGGTTTTCTGTTGAACACAGCAACTAATGTATTTTTGTCCCACTGCAGGTTGGGGCATTCCATACCCTAGAGATTGAGCTACATCGACCTTTTGTATTAAGAAAGGTCTGTTCTAGCTCTTCTTTTTGTCATTTTCTTTTTAGTAATAAATAAAATAGAAAAATTTATTGGTAAAAGGAAGAGTACATCAACTGGGGTGATAAGGAATCACCTGAACTTAGACTCTATAAACAACTCAGAAAAAGTATATATCAAAGAAGAAAGAGGAATACAAGATTAACTGCTTGAAATCCAACTCAAGAAAAAACCAAAAACCAATACTAAGACCCTCCTTTGAAATCCCTTAAAATTCTGGATACAATATATTATCCTTTTCTCACATAAAAGAGTGAATTCATCTCTTTTTCAATGTATGATTTCAGAGATCCCTTTTGTTTCTTTCATTCCACACTTCCCAACATATGACAAAAGGAACACAACTCCAAAACATCTTTCCTTAATAATTCCTTTCATCGTAGGCCAGCAAGCAAAAATGTCTGCAGGAGACCTTGGTTTCACCATATTAGATCTGAAACAGCCCAAAGACATCCCCAAATGAACTTTGAGTATGAGAAACCAAAGCACAGATGTAGCACATTCTCCTGCATGGCTTCACACAAGTAACACCTTCCTGGCAGTTGGATGTCCCTTGAAAACCTCAAAGAATTAACCCAAAAATGGAGTTCGAACAACAGCCAATTTGGAGAAGATTCTTGAAGGCTAAAGCAAAAAGCTTAATATTTGTGAAGACTAGAGTGCAAGGAAAAGTAATGTTGAAGATCAGGGAGGTGAGGAAGGCAATGGTTCTTCTGGTAGGGGTTGATACAGTTGAATGGCTCTATTTCTTTGTGGAAGGCACGGTGCAAACTAGGAGAGAGTTAGAAGGAAGGGGAGAAGAGAAGATATGTGGCAGAGAGAAGAAGAAATAACAAAGGTAGCTTTCTGGTCATCATGGAGTTCTTTGGAGAGAAGAAGAAGCAATTGATTTGTCTTCCTGAAGGAAAGAAAGGTGTACTCTGGGGGAAGATCAAAAGTATCCYACATCAATTCTTGGCATTGAAGGTGGTAGAAACAATGATAGAAAAACCCATAGAAGAAGAGGAGAAAGCTGATGCTGAGGAAGATTTGGGAATAGGAGTGGTGGTGAACGCTATGACTATGGTCAAAATAGCTTATAAAGGTGAGAAAGAAGAGTGGGAGAAGAAATTGGTAGTTGTCACAAAAAAGAAACCAGAAGAGGCAAACGCCGTTGCACCACAGCTCATTGCATTTCTCAATTCCTATCCTATGATCATTTGTCTCCCTCCTACAAGTCTTTTCTCGCATCTATTGCTGATATTCYCATTCCCAGAACAATACAGGAAGCATTGGAAGTACCAAAATGGAAACATGCAATAAAAGTAGAAATGGATGCCCTCATCAGAAACAATACCTGGGAGATAGTTGATCAACCTAAAGGAAAGAAACCGGTTGGATGTAGATGGGTATTCACTGTGAAACATAATGCTGATGGTTCTGTTGAAAGGTATAAGGCCCGATTAGTTGCAAAAGGATTTACTCAGACATATGGTATTGACTATTTAGAAACTTTTGCACTAGTAGCAAAGATGACCACTATCAGAGTATTATTATCTCTTGCAGCTAGTTACTCTTGGCCATTGTATCAGATGGATGTTAAAATCGCCTTTCTCAATGGAGACTTGTAGGAAGAAGTCTACATGCAGTTGCCTCCAGGATTTTATGGTACGGAGATGGGAAAGGTTTGTTGGTTGAACAAAGCTCTATATGGACTAAAACAGTCCCCTAGAGCATGGTTTGATAGATTTAGACGAGCCCTTGATAGGTTCGGATATGTGTAGGCTCAGTCAGATCACACCTTGTTTATTAAGAGATTGGATTCCTCTGTAACTTTGCTTGCCGTGTATGTGGATGACATTATAGTAACCGGGAGTGATACTAGTGAGATTGAGTCTCTTAAGCAACTCCTTCATCAAGAGTTTGAGGTAAAAGATCTGGGGGAACTACGATACTTCTTGGGCATTGAGGTAGCTAGATCTAAGCATGGAATTTTTGTCTCTCAATGAAAGTATGTTCTTGATCTGCTAGAAGAAATAGGAAAGTTGGGAATTAAGCCTGTGGACACACCTATTGAACAGAACCACAGGATTAGTACAGAGGGTGGAGAGCCTATTGAAGATAAAGCTATGTTTCAATGGTTAGTTGGAAAGCTTCTCTTTCTTTGCCTCACATGGCTTGACATCAGTTATGCAGTTAGTGTAGTTAGTCAGTATATGCACTCTCCTAGAACTAGTCACCTCCTTGCGGTTGAAAGGATATTAGCATATTTGAAGAGGTCCCCAGGCAGAGGCATTTTGTTCAAGAAAAATGACCACATGAAGATAAAAGTCTACATAGATGCTGATTGGGCTGGGTGTGTTGATGACCGAAGATCTATCTCTGGATATTGTGCCTTTGTAGGAGGTAATCTGGTATCCTGGAAGAGTAAGAAACAAAGTGTTGTTTCTCGTTCAAGTGCTGAAGCTGAATATAGATCCATGGCAAATGGTGTGGCTGAGATTCTATGGTTGAGATCATTACTTGAGGAATTGGGTATTGTTTATGAGAAACCCCTAATGTTGTACCGTGATAATCAGGCTGCCATCAATATAGCCCATAATCCAGTACAACATGACAGAACTAAGCATATCGAAGTGGACTGGCATTTTATCAGAGAAATGGTTACATCTCAAGAAGTATGCCTTCCCTACATCACCTCCGACATGCAGCTTGCAGACCTACTCACCAAGGCTGTTTCAAGAAAGAAGTTAGAAGAAGATCTAYGCAASTTGGGAATGACAAATATCTACTACCCAACTTGAGGGGGAGTGTAGGAAATTGTGGACCCCTCATTAAGTGTTTTCGTGTGACACCCAAAGATGTACTTAGATTTAAATTGTTTAGGATCAGCTTTCCTAGTAGGATTAGTTTTATTCTATCTTATCTAGGATTAGTTTTATTTTAATCTTATCTTTTATTGCCATGTAAGCATTAAAGTTCTTTTACAATTAGGAAACTATGTATATAAATTAAGGAGTGGGGCGGCTGTTTTAAACACACCAACCACTCTCTTCTTTCTAATACCTCTCCACGAGTTTTCCCTCTTTATCTCTCTTCTTTTTCTTCTCATTTTCTCTATTCCTTTCTTTATTTTCTGTTCAAAACCTAAGAGATTTTTGTAGTCTTGTACGACTACTATGAACAAGCTGAACGTGCATTCCAATCTCTAAAGATGGCATTCACTACACCACCCACCCTAGCCCTCCCAAATTTCGATAAGGGATTCATAGTCGAAACTGATGCTTCTGGAAGGGGGTTTGGGGCAGTTCTGATGCAAGGTGGGCAGCCCTGAGCTTATTACAGCCGAGCTCTTTCACCTCAAGCACAAGCAATTCAACCTATGGAAAGGAGCTAATGGCCATCACACTGGCAGTTCACAAGTGGAGGGCATACCTACTCGGATGGAAATTTGTTGTACGAACTGATCATCGTAGTATTAAACATCTGTTGGAGCAGCGAATTCTAATCCCAGAACAATAGAAGTGGGCCTATAAACTACTGGGTTATGATTTCCACATAGAGTACAAACTGGGTCCTTCAAATGCCATTCCAGATGCATTGTCGAGAGTAGAGGAGTTCAAATTCATGGGCCTGTCCAAGCCCAGTTACCCCCTACTGGAATTCATCAAATCAGAGGCCCAAGCAGATCCGGAATGCAACCAGATCCGAGCCTTATATGCTAAGGATCCCTCCTTGGTTCCAGGCTATTCGGTTACAAGGTCCACTCTTTTCTATAAGGGTTGAGTGGTGGTAGCAAACAAATCGGCCCATCAGAAAGAAATACGTAAACTGTTTCATGGTTCTGCCATGGGGGGGACATTCCGGAGTCCTCAGAACATATAAAAGGGTAGCAGGCCAGTACTATTGGAAGGGGATGAAGCATATGATCCATGATTATGTGGCTCACTGTGACATCTGCCAACAACATAAGTACAGTACACAATCCCCTGCAGGCTTACTTCAGCCCTTACCCATTCCAGAGGTGGTTTGGGAAGACATAACAATGGACTTTATTACCGGGTTACACAAGTCAGTCGGAAAATCTGTAATATTGGTGATAGTGGACCGATTAAGCAAGTATGCACATTTCATAGCACTACCACAACCATATACAGCAGCTACAATAGCTCGGGCTTACATCCAAGAGGTGACTTATGATCGTAAGCACAGGGAACTTGAATTTTCAGTTGGAGACTGGGTTTACTTAAAACTACAGTCCTACTGGAAAACTTCAGTGGCACGTCGGGTTTGGCAGAAGCTGGCTCCCAGATACTTTGGACTTCTTGGTGACTGAACGTGTGGGACAGGTGGCCTACAAACTTGATCATCCTCCCTCCTCGAAGCTGCACCCAGTCTTCCATGTCAGTCTGCTGAAACCGTGCTTGGCACCTGTAATCAAGCCACAACCAACACGTCCTCAGTTCACAGACGAAGGGGACATTCTAATAGAATCACAGCGGATTATAGATCTACGATGGGTTAAAGACTGGCACATAAATTCGTAAACAAGCATTAATAGAATGGAGCAATCTACCAAAGGAGGATGCAACTTGGGAGGACTATGAGAAATTATGAGATCAGTACCCCAACATCAACCTTGAGGACTARGTGTTTCTTGAAGGGGGTGGACTGATAGGCAGCTGGCTGATCAGTTAAGCCCAGCTCAGGAAGCCCAGGTCCATAACACTCAGTAGGTAAACCATGCTCGAGAGAAAGCCCCTGATTAACCAWGTGACTCCTCTGCTCAGGTTTGTTTACAGTTACACGAGGAAGCCACGTCCTCCAAGTTAGTTATCCATCACAGTCTCAGCCATGTGCAGGTGAAGAGGGAAGTATAAATACTACTTAATCCGATATAAATGGCATGAAGTGAGAAACCCTACTATTCTCTTCCTCTCCTTGTGAGCTCCCTCAAAACCAACTCATTGTGTTGATTTGAAGTGGATTTATCATCCAATTTGTTTCTCACATTTAGACCGGCCCCACTTGGACCGAAATTTGAAACTTTATTTCCTTTTCGATCAAGGGGCTTGTAACTTTTGAAATTTACAATGCAGGCCCCTGACCTTTCACCTTTAGAAATCTCTTGTTTCGACGTCTCCCCCAAAGCCTTACAGAACACAAGCGATTTCTTTAGATTGTCAGCTTTGATGACCTCCCTAGCCACCTTCTGGTCCTTCCGTTGAAACAGTGGATCTCCGCTAGCAACTACAATTCGGAGTTTGAAGACTTCCTCAAGAAAAAGCAGATCCAGGAGTGTTGGGATCAAGCTAACATCTTCAGTCTCAACTAGAATTCTTGCAGATTGTATATTTTCCCATCTTCTCTGAAGTCAAAATTTTAAAACTTCCCACAGCATTTCCTATGGCCCTAAAAACCTCTGTATACTAGGCATGCAACGGTATCCCATAGACATCGATCCAGACGTACTTCATTTTCAATACTTCCATTCTAAAACTGGGTGACCAACGACTGATAAAGATTTTGTGGTTCCTCTTTTTTCCAGTGCATTCCCTTGCTAGGATTCTTCCATTTTTTTTTCCACCTAAAACTGAACAAAAATAAAGATGCCCCCATCCTTCGTACACAGGAGAAGCTTTGGTTTCTCCATTCTTGGCTCGCCCATTTATCCACATCTCTAATGTCAGGATCCAAGTGAACAAATCTACCTACTAAACATCTATTTAGGAACTCCAATCTTTCTTCAACCTTGCCACCATCCCTAAAACACTCAGCGATATCACCATTTTTTTGCCATATCCAGCTCTTGTCGTTCACTGCCATTCACTGTCTACAACAATCTTATCAAAAGAAGAATCAGGTTCCTTCTTTTTGTCATTAATCCACTGTTATCATGTCCAAATTTATTTATGACTTAAATTTTCTCATTCCCTTTTATTTCATTTGATAGGTCATTCGTTGATCTGTTTTTAACCTAATAACAAGTCTCCATCTAATCAAGTGAAGTTTTATCCTTGTTAGTTTCGTAAGTTAAAATGAATTTGTGATTAACTGATGATAACTGTGTTGGGACACTGTTGACCTGTAAAAGGTAGACACTGGGAACTCTTCTGTTTAGAAAATAAACCAATAAATCAATATGGATACTAGGTCAGGTTTGCTGATCAAGGCAGACAAGCATCACCTGCAAATCTGGAAAAACCCAGAAAGAGAGAAAACGATGTTATGTGCCGGTAGCTATTCCGCTATACAGACAAAGGCTAGAGCTGAAAAATAAACAACAATGACAACTTCTCTAAGATTAGTAACCAACACCAATAGCCATGCTAGGATTCGGTGGAATGGGGTGTTTAGCATAAATCCTAGGATGTGTTTTGTGAACCTTCACCGAGTCTACTTACTAGTGCTCAAGTAGATTTTGGAGTTAGGGGATGGAGAAAAGAGCAAGGTTGTTGAGGGAGAATCTCAAATTCTCATTGATATTGGAGGTCTCACTGCCAAACTCTGCTTTTAGGAGAGTTATAATATCAATTCAGCATTCTAAAGTGGGAGGATGGATACTCTGAACTGTGCTTGGATATATTTTTGCCTGGTCATTCTAATGGTGGATCTCATGGATACAGAGTTACTGTATGCGTTTGGTACTAAAATACCAATTTTCCAGTGAGAGGAGGTCACCAACTGGGTTAGGGAAAAAGTTAACTTTGAAGCAATCTTTTGTTTGTTGACTTGGTGGTTATTAAAACCTTGTGTCTATACACATGTTTGTGACTTAATATTTGCCTGTCTAAACCACCTTAGATTAATCTTCTGCTCTATTGTATATGCCTATATACAAGTACACCTGTTTATTTCTTAGCAGTCATGCATTGTATGTACAGGTTAGAGTTAAGGCTTCATCCCCCTCATGCAGGCTGTAATTTCTTTTTATAATTAATAATAAAATTAGAGGTTTGTTCCTGGACCTTAGATCAATCCTGGGTTAAAAATGAAAGTTCCATCTTTGATGTGCCTAATGAAAATTGAATTGGTTGAACTTGTAATAATGTATTGTATTTCTTCACTTCTAGTTGTAATGTAACACTTTCTAATCATTGGAGATATTTCTCTTGGATATGTAGGATGTCTGGGACTCTTTGGCATTGGATGTACTCCAGCAGGCCTCAGGTACCTGCCTTTTTTCTCTATAGATGCACCATATGCTTGTGGGATATTGAGATAGGATGTTCTATCATTTAATTGTTACTAGTAAACGTGTATGTGCATTTGCACGTGGCAGTATCTCTAAGACAAAACTATTTATAATTCATGGGCAGTTTCTAAACTGTTATAAGTGGGCAGTTTTTGAAGTGGGAGTAAATGACATATATGTCCTCTTTATGCCCATTGTATGCTTGGACAAGGGGGGAAAAATGTCCAATGAAAATTCCAGAAAGAAGGGGCATTCGCTCTTTTATAGGTAGTATAGATTCCAAAGAAACTTTATTTGCCATGATACTGATATGAAAGCAATGTGAAGAAGTTAGGTTTGCGTGATGCCTGCCTCTGACTCACCTGATGAAAGTTCAAGAAAGGTGAACACTGAACTAGAGACCCTTTCCTTCATTCTCGACCTTTCCTAAAACCTTAATCCATCTTCCTTTTATAGACCTTTCAACTTTTCCCAGTTGAGGCTATTGAAAACTCTCTCTCTAGCTGGTGCAATGGAAGGACTATAGAAGAGAAAGACATCCAAAAGATGCAACAGCATGCGCCAAGTTTTGGAAGATTGGATTTTTCATTTGAAAAAGTTGTCTGGTAGCATTGGATAGCATTTTAACCATCACCATAGATGATGATGCTTACTCTAACAGAAAGGGAATCTAGCACTATTCAACTTGAATGGAACACATGAATTTTTTTTTGTTCCTTCCCAAAGAACTCCTACAGAACTAGGTAGATTCCGTTTTTGTTTTCTCTGGTTTCGGTTAAGTACAACTACCCTCTACTCACATGCTTACACCATTTACAAGTCTGATCAGAGAGCACCTAGGTTCCTACGGATAACGTCATTCCTAATCCTATCCTTTCTAGTCTTTCCACTCATCCATCTTAGCGTTTGCATTTCTGCCACATTCATTTTCTGGAAATGTTGTTTCTTGACTGCCCAACACTTTGCTCCATACAACATATCTGTCCTTACAATTGTATTATAGAAATTTTCTTTTAATCTAAGGGGTATTCGCCTATCACATAAAATTCCAGATTCACCCCCCCTTTCTTCCCATCCTACTCTAATTCTTTGGGTAACATCCTTCTCAATCTCTCCCTTGTTATGAATTATTGAACCAAGGTACCGGAAATGGTCACATAGAGTTATCTCTTGGTCTCCMCTCCTAAGTGTATCTTGATTTACATTACTATTATTAATAAATTTACATGTCATATAACTGTGTTTTAGTCCATAAGCTTAATTTTGCATTTAATCCTTCATTAGTTTCATCAATTAAAACAATGTCATCCGTAAACATGCACCATGGAACTTCCTCCTAAATATGTTTAGTCAATTCATCTATGATTGTGCAAATAGATAAGGGCTAAGTGCTGAACCTTGGTGAAGACCCATAATAATTGTAAAATCTGAAATTTCTCCAATTGGTGTTCTAACTTTGGTTGTTGCCCCCTCATACATATCCTTAATTAGGTCTATATACCTATTTCGTTTCCAAGACCCACCATATTATCTTTATAGGAACTCTATTGTATGTCTTTTCTAGATCAATGAACACCATGCAAAGATCTTTCCTATTCTTTCTGAACTTTTCTATCAATTGTCTCAAAAGAAATATAGCTTCCATGGTTGATCTTCTTGGCATAAAGCCAAATTGGTCTATGACACACTTGTTTCAAGTCAAAATTTTTGTTTAATTATTCTTTCCCAAAGTTTCATAGTGTGGTTTATAAGTTTAATCTACCAATAGTTATTACAACTTTGTATATCACCTTTATTCTTAAATTTTTGGATCATACCGTTGTTTCTCCAATCATCAGACATCTATTTTTTTTTACCATCTTAGTAAATAGCTTTTTAGCCATAACAAGCCTGCCTCTCCCAAACATTTCCATACTTATATTGGAATCCTAGCAGGTCCTAATGCCTTTCCCTTCTTCATCTTATCTAGTGCCTCTTTTACTTTAGTAAGTCTAACTCTACGAAGGTACATATTATTTTTAATACTATTACTATTGCTAGATTTTCCTCTATTAGTACCTCTCCCTGCTGTTCATTTAATAATTTTTCAAAATGGTTTTTTCATCTTTGTATGATTTTTCATCTTTTACCAAGACTCTTTGATTTTCATCTTTAATGCACCTAACATGGTTTAAATCTTTCCCTTTTCTATTTGCTGATGACTTGATTCTTTTTTGTGAAGGAGGTCTAGAGGAGTTTAGAAAATTTAAAGGTCTTGTTAGAGAATTTTGAAAAGGTCTCCAACTTGAGAGTAACTTGGAATAAAAGTTGTGTAGCTGGAATTAATAGGCAAGAAGTAGAGGTGGCATCTTTGGCTAGATCTCTAGGTTGTGAGGTAAGTGATTGGCCTCTGAAGTATTTAGGCTTACCTTTGGGAGAAAACCCGAGGTCAGTTATCTTTTGATACCCAATTTTGGAAAGATTCTCAAAAGGACTAACGGGTTGGAGAAAGGAACTACATCTCTTTAGGGGGTAGAATCAATCTAATTAAGTTAACACTAGCAAATTTGCCTGTGTATTTTTTGTCTACCTTCAAATTGCTTGTTAAGATTGCAAACCAGGTTGAAAAAATAATGAGAGGTTTTCTGTGGGAACTTGGAGATACTAAAAAGGATCATAGGGTAAAATGGGAAGTGGTGTCTAGAAAGAAAGACAAAGGGGGCTTAGGGATTGGAAATACTAGAATAAGAAACGCAACTTTGTTAGGCAAATGGCTATGGAGGTTTCCTAAGGAGTAAGAGTATCTATGGCATAAGGTGATAAGAAGTATTCATGGAATGGCAACAAATGGTTGGGACGTTGGACTCGACCCAAGGGCTTTGCGCTTTTCCCCGTGGAAAGATATTGTTGGTATCTTGCCTATCTTCTCTCTTTTCGTCAGGTATGATGCTTGTGTGGGTAATAAGATTCTTTTTTGGGAGGACTTGTGGATTGGGGCATCTCCCCTCAAGGATAGATTCCCAAACCTATATTCCCTTTCTTTGAAAAAATCTCAATTTATCTCTTCTTTTCGTATTTATGGGGATTCTTGGGATCTGGGACTAAGGAGAGGTTTGAGGGACTCGGAAGTGGATTTAGCAAATGATATTTTTTCTCTTCTAAGTTCAGTTTTTCTAGACCACTCTTCTCCTAATAGTAGAATTTGGACTGAAACTTCTACAGGTAGTTTTTCTTGTTCTTCATTTTTCAATGCTTTGGTCCTTCCTTCTAACCCAGTATCTTCCTTTCTTGTTAAAGAAGTATGGAGCACCCTGGTCCCCCCAAAAGTAAGGGATTTTTGTTGGGAAGTAGTTCTCCAAAAATTCAATACCTTGGAAGTGCTTCAAAGAAAGGGACCAAATCGGTGCTTGTCACCTCATGTCTGTAGCCTTTGCTTGAGGAATAGTGAGACGGTGAATCACCAATTAATTTCTTGTCCTTTTAGTGCTCTTAATTTGGGATTGGTTCTCCTCTCTCTTTGATTGTAGGTGGATTCTTCCCACAAGCATAGCGGATTTATTTGACCCTAACTTTTTCCGACAACCAAAGAAGAAAGGAAGGGTGATGTGGAGAACAACAGGGCAGCTATCTTGTGGGCAGTGTGGGAAGAGAGAAATAATAGGATTTTCCAAGGGAAAGAAAAATCAGCTCCTGAAGTTATTGAAGGGATCACCATCAAGGCAGTACATTGGATGAAAACTCTTGAATTGTTCAAGGATGTCTCTATAGATGATTTGTTTAGAGGTTGGAGTATTTTAGCAAAGTCTTCTACTTCATCACCTACCATACAAGCAGTTTGGTCCCCTCCTATGCAGTGTAATGTCAAACTGAACTCTAATGGCAGCTCTATTGGGAACGCTAGACCTTCTGGAATAGGGGGTGTGTTTAGAGATGCAAAAAGAAAAATCCTAGCTTTGTATTCTGGTCAATAGGTTTGGGGGACTCGCTTAGAGCTGAAGTATTGGCTCTCCTCCAGGGGCTCAAATGGGCCAAGCAATTGGATTTTCAACAGTTAGAAGTGGAGGGGGATTCCAAATTAGTAGTAGGTTGGCTGCAATCAAATAGTTTGGGAAYGTKGTCYCTTAGACAACAYGTAAGGGAATTATTGAGCCTCACAAGGGAGCTGGGTGCACAAGTGTATTGGTCTAGGAGGTCAGCAAATGATTTAGCTGACAACCTAGCAAAACAAGGGGTGAATCAGGAGGTTTTGTTTTGTGCAGTGTTGTAAGTTATTTGTTATTCAGGGGTCACCTTTCACTTTAGAAGGTGACAGTTGTTCCTCTGGTTTTATATAATGAAAGTTACTGTTTCCTATAAAAAAAAATTTATGGTGAAGGTCATCATAGATCTTAAATTTAACTTCATTCACTTTCATTTTTTAAATCCTTATCTACTATTATCACTACACAATGTCTATTATTTACCTCTCCCATACACCATTCCTAAACTTCAGTTACATAATTAATAAAATTTTCTTTGCCAATCAAAAAAAGTATTTGATCCATCACCAGTTCCTGTGTAACCACTAGGAAGAGTTCGGACATCTTTGGAAAGTTATATCAATCAAAAACAATACCCAAAAAACCACTTTCTAGCCCCCACAAATTTCTGCAAATAATTAGTGCCTAGAACCCTAGATACTTGGGTTCATACACAGACAGAATAAAGATTTGAAAATTAGGTCTGGTGGCAAAACAGGAACCAAAAAGTATTTCCATAATATTTCTAGGGCTCGAAACTTAAGCAACCTCCTTCTGAAGATCAACAAATATCATAGTGATCAAACATGCCATGTCTCATTGCCTAACAAGATTCCAATAAATCAGACATGACAAACATTTAAATATGTAATTTTCAGTATTTTCCGTTTGAATTTAAAAAAAATGCTGAAACTACCTCCAATTGTCGAACAAATCACACCAAAATTCATCTAAAATCAGGGCACACCAACCTATATCATCTCAGTCTTGGTTTCCCATCAATTATATAGACTGCTGACATCATTTGACGACATGGTGACATTAGCAAGTACTGCTGTCAGATGTGTTCGAATAAATATTTCCCTTTGATCTTTGAGTGATCTGATATCAAGTTGTGAAATACTAGCAGGAAAGAATAACTGAAAAATAGAAGAGAAGAAGAAAGAGGAGAGAAAGGGATGGGTGATTACTGATCAAAAGAAAAATAAAGAATGGGGTGGGAGAATTATGTTAGTCATATCCAGTGATTTAAAAAGGCGCGCCTCAGGTGCACAGGCAAGGCGCATTTTAGGGTATGCGCCTCACCTAGGTCCTAGGCGCAACCCTTTCACGTGCGCCTAGGCATGTGCCAAATTGCGCCTCAGCCCAGGCATGCACCTTTTGAAAATTTGATGCTTTTTTGCTTTTCTTGAAACTAGTGGCTGGGCCGGGGGCTCCACCCTCGGACCCTGTTCAACGTTTCTCATGGCAAGCCCAAACAAGTCCACGTTAAAGTCTTAAATTCTTAGTTTTCACACAAAATATAATGATTTTATATTTTTAATTGCTTCTTAAGAAGATATTTTATTAGGATGAATGAATGAACTACATTACCAAATAGGGGGTTCTACTCCTTTTCGGTGAGCAAGTGAAACTAAGAATTTAAGACCCTAACATGGACTTGTTGGGGCTTGCCTCGAGGGGCGTGGCACAAAGGTGGCTCGTAGAATCAAGAATGTAATATGTTTTACATCATATTAGCTACTTGAAGTAATGTAATTGAGGAAAAAAAGAGATTATGGGTTTTGCATACTTGAAAATGTTTTATATGTTTGATTTTATTTTTAAATTCTCATTTAAATATGCTTTATATGTTATGTTTATGTATTTTAATTTTAGATAATAGGTTTTTAAAACATTTATTTTAAAATTTAAGTTTACATTTTTTATTAATATTATGTTTAATATTTTTTTTTGCATTTTTCGAATTTTTTTGCGCCTTGCTTCAGAAAGGCACACACCTTGCCTTGCGCCTCATGCACAAATTGACCCCTGTGCCTTTTTTTGCGTCTTGCGCTTTTAAAACACTGGTCATATCATGCCCCCTCCCCCTTTATTAACTTTGTATTAAGTGATCAAATTATTAAGGTGCCCTTAATTAGGGGCATAATAAGCAGCTCAAGTACAAAGACAATATTGTCCTCTATCTTGTCAACAACTCCAATCTAAATGTAATTTGGTGTGAATAAATTTAAGATAGGAGGCACTCAATGTGTGTGCCAACATTTTAGGATGTAAGGTGAACTATTTTCCAATCAAGTATTTGGGTGTACCTTTAGGGGGAACCAAGAGATATCCTTTTGGGATGAACCTGGAAAAAGATTCAACAAACAATTAACAATGTGGAAGAAAATTACTTATCTTTGGGAGGGAGGATCACACTTGTAAAGGTAGTCTTTAGTTCATGGTTCTGAAAAAGGGTGGTATGTTTCCAAAACCATACCATTTTTTTTTTGAACCACAATGCAAAAGAGGCTGTTCAATTCATTATTTATTTTTTGAATTGTGATGTAGGAACATTGATTGTATGATTCATGTGTACATGTACTTTACTATTTGTCTTTGATCATACGATCATCATCAGGTAAAAACATTATGACTGGAGGCATATTGGTGTGTGAGGTACACCATATAACTACCATGTCATGCTTACATTAGCAAACCATGTATCCTGGTTGAGAAATCTATAAGAAGTTTCTRTTAAGAAAGGCCATTTTTCTGGTTCTGGAACCATGGATTGTGGGTTCCAGAACCAGAAATAGCATATAGAGCATTGGTTGTGTTTGTGAACTGTTAGAATGTTAAGAGTGATGTTCGGCTGATAAGAGTTCTTATTAGCCCAGTCTTATGTTTAACTTATCTTGTAACTGGGCCTGTGTTAATGGGCCTAATCCTGTTTAGTGATTTAAKTCATYTGGGTGTCCCATCACTAATCAGGGGCATCCCAGTAATTTCTTGTACCTTGTAMTATATTCATCTATAAATAAAAGACTGGTYGACTGCCTAGTACAGTTTGACATTCTCTTCAGTTCTGTGGTTCTCTTCTCCTCCTTGCTACTTCGAGTATAGCTCTTCAGATTACATGAACCAGATGAAACACAAACACAACCATGAACTGAACACCCCCAAAATCGATCTTCTTGAGCCTCCTAGTTTATTTCTTCTCCATCATTAGAGCCCCAATGAAGGTAATAATAAGGATTGAAAAAATTATTAGGGACTTCCTACGGGAATTGGGGGAAGGAAGATGAAGGTGGGTTAAAGGTAGGACAACTTAAGTAAAAAAATACTGCTCTATTGGTATGTGGTTGTGGAGATTCCCCTTAGAAACCATTTCTCTTTGTCAATCAATGATTAGGGCATCTATGGGCTCTACCTATGGTTTAAAATATTGGTGTTGGTGGAAATATTTGTCATCCAAATAAAAGAAACATGTTGGAAATGTCGGATAACAGACGTTGTCTGGAAATATTATAAAAATTATAGACATGGTGGAAACATTGTGAAATATGTAAAAATTTAGAATGCTATTTTATATAATGAATAAAGATGATGGCCTTCTGAAAATAGTATTGCCTTTCAAGTTTTATTTGCTAATTTTTTCTCAGTAAGAATCTTTCTTTTTCCCCAAATTGTTTTCTTGATGAAGAAGCTGAGGGATCTTTGAAATATAAATATCTGAACTGTGATTACTACTATACTGACAAAATGACATCCTCATCATGGTCATAGACCTTAACTTTAATGCTCATCTTTCTGCCATATTTGGTGGCTTCAGAAAACAAGCTCAATCTTGAGATGTCAAGGCTAGTCTTAAATTTGACCCAGGTGCTGAAGAAATAAGCTAGGGTTTAGATGGCAAGGAGTTACTTAAACCATAACGAAATTTATAGCATATTTTCAGTTCCTCTAGTTGCAAATAACAAATATTTTCCTGGAAAGTCTAACAGTTAAAAATGTAGGTTTCTATTAATCTATTTAAATATCTATAACACTTTCAAATCTAAATTCCAGATCCTGCTGCAAGCGCTGATCTAGCTGTGGTTCTAATGCAAGAAGGATTAGCACATGTGCTTCTTGTTGGCAAAAGGTGAGTCTAATTCATCCTTGATATGACCAAGAATTGAATTTCCTAAGCATAAATGTAAGAGATTGCAATGTTATAGTTTACTGGAATTCCATATCTCTGTAGATGCATGTATAATATTTTTGGTTTTGCACTTCTGTTAGTGTGGTTTAAAATTTTATATATTGGTTATAAGGGAAGCAATGATTTATGAAGCAGAGTGTTGGGTGGCCAAAAAGCAACATGTCCAAAAAAATGAGTGTGATCAAAACATGAATGTTCAGATGGAATGGGAAAATTAGAAGGATAGGATCATAGGACTAGGAATGAACTTGTTCAAAGGAACCTAGGAGTATCTCCAATAGGTGATAAAATGAGGGAAAATAGACTAGAATTGTTTGGCTTCATTTAACTGATCCCATTATCCCATATAGTTGGGACAAGGCTTAGAGGATGATGATGATTATTATTATTATGACTTTTGTTAATGTGGTTTCTTTGCCAATGTGTACACTACACTGATTTCATGTTATTTTCCCAATTATCCAAATTGTAAGAGTGTAGTTTATTGCTAATTTAGCCTAAAAAAGTTGACTATATGTGTGTGTGTACATATGCACACACAAATATCTGAATTTTTAAGTGTAGTCTTCTCGTTTATCTAAATTTTAAGAGTGTACTAGTGTAGTCTATGGCTAACTTGGCATAAAAGAACTGAATGGAGTTTGGGGTGGAAAAAGAGGAATGAGTAATATTATTAATAGAGATATAGGGACCTTTTTACATGAATGGGAGTGGTAATTTGTTGTCTAGTGTGTCCAAGTGTATTTGCCCCCTAGCATTGGCAGATCAACCAACTCCCACCTCATGAACTCTGCAAAACCCCTCATTCCCCTTCTATTTTCTTTGCGACCCTTCTTCTCATAGGAGGCCCCCCCTAATTACCCACGGATGATTCCACTTTCTTCTTAAATCATCCAATTCTTCCCAAAAAGAGTCTCGAACCGGGATGATTGGAGGTTGTGGAGCCATGGGAGATGAAGCAAACAGGGGTGATGAAGTGAGCAGGGTAGGCGAAGGATTTAGGCCGGTGAAGAGATGGTGATGAGTCTAGGCAATCAAAGCCAAAAAACTGCTCTTCAAAGAAGGAATAATGGACAGGTTTCTTTGAAGGTTAGGGAAGAGAAATTGGCCACCATTTATTTGGGTGGAGATGCAGTAAGTTGGCTCAAAGGCTTTATTGATGGAACTTTATACTTGGTTAGAAGGATTGGATGGAAGAGTTCTGTGGAGATAACAAAAAAAAGATTTGAGGTTGAACAAAAGTGGAATAAGAAGGGGTGGTTCATTACAGTTACAAAGTCTATTTATTTATTTATTTTTGGAAGGGGAAAGAAGCAAATGATATGTATTCTAGAAGGAAAAGGGAGCAGGGGCCAGCAGATGATGACAAACAACTTACAAGATTTCCTGATTTCTTTGGAGGCAGGTAAGATAGAGTGTCAAACCTAGGTGGATGAGGAGAAGATAGATGATGAAAGTTTTAGACAGTGTATGCCCTTAGCTCTAATTAGATTGATGTATCTTTTGACATTTATTATAAAGGAATAAAKTACATAATTGATTCATGTCATTGTGGTGTGTTTCTGTGTAATACCCTTAAACTGGACACTTACGATACTCGTATTAGTTTAGAATCTTCACAGTCGTTGGATAGATCTGGGGATATTTATCCTACCAAGGCTGACACTGATGTGCTGCCAAGTTGGTTGGGGTAGCTTGTCTCAGCTGCCAGGGTGAGACCTAAGGTACATGTAGTGTGGGTTTTCTTGAAACCCTAAACCGGACCAAATTCCAGTATTGCCCTAGACCTTGGAGATAGATGGGCAAAACTGGAATGT